TCTTTGTACGGAGCACTGGAACAGGCTGCCTAGGGAGGTTGTGGAAACTCCTCCAGACATATTCAAAATCCACCTGGATGCTTTCCTGTAAGGAAAGCCGGGGCTTGGAGCTACATGATCTCCAGAGTCTCTTCCAACCTCTACAATTCTGTGATTCTGTGGAAGTGTTACGTTAGGCAAACAAAGATTTTGTGTACATTTTAACTTAGTCTTCAGGGCTAAATGCAGCAATAATAAGAGTGCAGTGGTCTCTGTTGTCCCCTTGGCTTCAGTAATTCATAAATGATAAGTAAGATGTTCCTCATATGCTGAAATAACCAAGCTCCAGCAGGCATTGCTTGGTAGCATATATATTGCACATATCTATTAATACACGTGAAACATATGCTTGCATAGTGCCTCCAGTAGGTCTTATGTTAGGTGTTCTGAGAGCCATGGAAGAAACTATGGTCCACAAGTGATTATGAAGTTTCTTAACCATGTGGTATGGCATCTGATGGACTCTCATGCTACGAAGTAATTCCTGTCTGCAAGGTGGATGAGCTTGTGTGCAACTCTGTGTGAACTGTGCTCTCCTGCACCTGGAGTTGATCCTCCTTACATATAACCAGATTTGGAATCTTTGTGCTGCTCATCTCCTGTGAGGTGGTATGACTGATCTTTTTGCTCCTCCTGTTGAAGAGCAGTGACAGAGACAAGTAGAATGAATAGAACATGTGTAGTGGGAGGCCTTTGAGTAATGAGATTATAGACAACAGATTTTTTTGTTTTGTTCCAAGTTTTTTTCCATAGTGGATGGTTAACTTCTGGATCTCTCTGCCACATGATATCATTATGGGTAGGAGTTAATTTGATCCTAGAAAGGATTAGAGATCTCAGAGAATGAAATTGTTTGTTTATTCTGTGAATAACATGAATTTATAAATTCTTGTTTTAAGGTTTAAAAACAATTGGCAACAATGGGGTCTAACATAGTGGACAGATTATTTTATAACTGTTTACTAGGAAACTTATTTTGCTGTAACATCTGTTTCTAGCTACTCCCAACAACAGGAACTAGTGATTCAGAGATCTGTTTCTAAATTTAATACGAGAAGGAGCATAATAGTGGCTTCAGGAGCACTGAGGGTGTGTGTGTGAATAGGAGCTGGTGATAAAGGCAGAACTCACCCTGTGTGAAATGTGTTGTTGTGCCTCTGATTTCAGGGCACAGATGCTGATACACAAACAGGATACTTGTGTCAGAGTAACAAACTGGTTCTGAGCATTCAGCGTTTTGGTCATAGTATTGTACAGTGTCACTCCATTGTATTTAAAGTAATTGATCTACAGAAAAACTGCACAGTCTTTATTTTGAAGATTGATGTCTTTACAAGTGAATGAAGGAAAGGGAGTGAAGGAACAAGATTTAAGATGTGGAAGGAAGAAGGCCTGGCTGTGTTTTTCGATAAGCAAAAGTCTCCAGATTCCATCATTAACTGCCTCTTACATTTGCTTTGGAGAAAGCTTCTGTCTTTTCTTAAATGGAGTTAAAAATGTTTCCAACTTCATTGCTCTACTTTTTTTTCCTTTATTTTTTCCTCCCAAGGGTATATGCAGGCATGCATACGCACAACCATAGCTTTGTTTATGACAATTACATCTGGTAGCTACTACTGGGCAGAAAACCTTGGCAGGCAGGTATAGGTGCAGGCATAATGCCTTGTGAAGGTTTAAATTTCAGCAAATGCAGGACATCAAACTCTCCAGCCTCTCTGTTCTTCCGGGTAGGATTGGTTATAGGAGTGGTCATGCCATTCCTGGCCCAAATGGGATCCGTGAGAGGACTTGCTTTGACAATCTGTGTTAGGATGAAATGAACACCTTAGTAGTAATACCTCCTTGGGCTGCCTGTCGAGCTTGGATTGGTATCCTTTGGCAATCAAGCAGGGAAGGCGGAATTTGAACAGAGGGAAATACAGCTGAAGTCATAGGTGCTCTGAAAAGCAGCATCAATAATCATAGGCTGAGTGTGATGTTTTGTGGCTCTTATATGAAGGCTGCATTTCTCCCTGTGTACAGTCACTCCACCACAAGTTAAATTCTTTGTTGAAGAAAGCTCTATTTTGAAATGCCGAGTCTGAAGCACAAATGATATGCTGGAGCAAAAGACTCCTGGGGGATTTTTTTTTTATGAGATGGATTTTATTTGTTAAATGGGTTTTCAGTAGTTGTTCAGTATGTGCTATTGTATTGCTTGCATGATGTCTTACAGTGTCACTGGTCTGATCTGGACTGTGATGATTGCATGAATTGCATCATTTGCTAACTGTGGAAAGATGGCTGGATCCAAGAGACATTTGTGTGTGCGTGTATTTTATAGTGTAATTGTAAATTGTAAATTAAAGATATTCAGTTAATGCCAAAGATGAGCAGTATTCATGTTCTTGGTGTTCTTGTCTGCCCACAGGAGTTCCAAGAGTCAAAGCAGATCACAGAGGAAGCTGAAGTTGCTTTTGTATTTTGTTTGTGAGCAGGAAGTAATGAAATAAGTTATGTAGTCTTAAGACATCTTGAAAATTGAGACTTTTAAGTGATCTTTGGGCTTCTACCAAGGAACATGCTTCTGGCAATCTGGTTTTGTGTATTAGAAGAAAAAAAAAAACACACTAGAAATCCCTTGGCTTTAATTTATAGAGAAATAACTGTACTTTGCTAATATGTTGGCCACGTTGGTTTCTAGCATATGGTTGTGGCAATTCATAATTTTATACCGTGTGGTTTTCAGTGACTTAAATTACTAGGAAGAAATAGTTTGGCCTGTGTTGATCTGTGAGATGGTGTTACATTTGGCTGGGAGACCTTGTCTAGGAGCTGGAGGATCAGGCCTGTGGCCTGTTGTGGCTTTGACAGAGACAGCTGTCTCAGGGCAGGCTGGTGGCTATAGCCTTGGTGTGTAATAGGAGAATCTGATGGTCCCTTGCTGACCTTTGCCTTCCTCAATAGAATTGTAGCACTGCTAATTGTAAAGCTTAAATGCAAGCTCAACATTAAAAGCTTGAATTTTTCGTGTTAAGCCTTTTGCTCATTGCGGTAAAACTTTCATTTTGATTCTGTGTTATACAGTGAGGGGGTAGAGGGATTTTTATTCAGATCTCTGTTCAAATTACAGCTATTCACAAGCAGCAACTCAGAAGAAAGAGGTTATTGTATGTAACTGGCTAATTTCAAATGTGCCATCATCACATTTCTTTTTGTGTGTGCTGACTGAAGACAGTAAAGATTACTTAATAAATGACTCATTATTACTCTTATTTATATAACTAAGATCCTGTAGTCTAAGTCTGTTGGCATTTACTTCCACGAGAGTTCTGACTTTTGGTGGGGGTTTTGTTTTTGTTTTAAAGCTACTTCACGATTACTCATTTTGTTTGTACATTTTTTGTATGTGTACAGCCAATTGTATCTCCTCTTTATAGGGATGGAAGTAAAGCATTATTACAATCTACCTAACTTAATTTGACAACACATGAATCAATGATTTGGCACTGCTTCAGCACAAAACCTATGCTGAAGTCTAAGAGCTCTTATTCCCAGATTAACCAAAAGTGGAAACCTCATCTATGCTTTTTGCTTGAAAAGCATGGCTGCAGCCCGTGAGGCCCTTGTGCTGCTGAAAAATATATGCAGCTGCTCACGTAGCTAGATAAAGGGTTCTGGTGTGGATGGGGTGAGTGAGCACTGTTGCAGGCTTACTTTTGAACCACAGGGAACATACTGATATGAGGAAGAGTTCCCAGCTGTAAAATGTGTGTGTGTATGTAAGTAGCAGAATTTTCTACTGGGTTATGTCCTGCTGTGAAATCTTTGCTAAATCATGTCATGAAACAGTCACGTGATAAGGAGTAATTCCAGCACACTGCTAACATTTTAAAACTCTTTTTGAATGTCTTGATTTGTGACTTTTCTGGTGATCAAAATGTTGCTAATATAGAAGATAAAAGGATTTTGTTTCTAACCCATGGCATAGACTTAAAGGTTCTTCCTTTTACAGCCAGTCAAGCTTGAAACTGTTGCCTCCCTCAATCATCCTGACATGTTATACAATATGAAATCTGGTGCAATTCAACTGAACTTTCGGGCTATAATCTTTCAGAGGCAGGATACTTGGATTGCACAATGTAAGGCCTTGATACAGAATGGGAAATTGAATCTTTTATACAGTGTAAGTATTAAGTACTAGCAGTGTGTAGATGTTTGTCTAAAAGTTACGATTTTTTTGTTTGATTACCAAGGAACTCTGACCAAGACCCAGGTCTGAGCCCTGCAAAAAGGGATAGGATAAGGAGCACAGAGCATACAGTGCTACTATTGTGAAAGGCATCTGATGCTTGGAGTAATGAGACAGAGGGAGGATGCCCCTCATGAGTCAGGAAGAGGATTGCCATAAAGGTCTGTTATATAAAGAATGTTTTAACCCAGTGGTAACTCTGACTCTCATGTCAGAGCAAGCAACACAGCGAGCAAGTAAGCCTATTTTGGGACAAGGCTTCAACTTTCCACTAAAGTTAAAGAAAGATGCTTGTCTGACTGATAACCAGCTGTTGTACTGGCTTTTCCCTTTCTCCAATTCAAACCAAGAATAGCAGCCATACTGTGCCTGCTTATACGTGATTCAACTTTGGTATTCCTGTAAAGGCCTTGAGGTCCAGAATCAGTTCACTGTGAGCATGGATATGGCTGTGTCCATGTGCAAAAAAACCCTGCAGCTTCTGCAGCTTGCAGTAGAGATTGAACCTTCCTGCCAGTATCCCGTTGCATGTTGTTACCATGTGACAGATGGCATCAGAGGAGTGCCCTGACAAAATGGCGTCTAACTTAGAAGTGCATATGCAAATGTAAATTGAGTTCCTCCATGTGGAAAAAATGGCACCCACTGACATTCCTTGATGCTTATTGGATGTTTATGGAGACCAAACAGTGAATATGAGTGCAGTGAGGCAGAGAGTGTTGCGTTTCAGCAATGGTGGCAACAGTGTGAAAGACAAGCCATGTTCTGGGTGGCTGCGCATAGCTGTCACACTACAAAATGAAGAGCATCTTGATCAGCTCATCTACGTGAATCAGCAGGTTACAACCAGGGAACTGTGTAAGGAGCTGAATATTCACTTCAGTGCATTGAAAACAATAGTGGCAACATTGGAATGTTGCAAAGTTTGCGCTACGTGGGTCCCGGGAACACTCACACAGAAACAGGAAGAATACTGTGTGCAAGTTTGACAGGCCTATTGAACTAATGTGAAGTTGAATGTGACAGTTTCTTGGATTGCACCATTACTGGTATTGAGATGTGATGTCACCACTACAAGCTGGAGTCAAAATGGCAGTCTGTAGAGTGGTGATGTGTGAATTCCCTATTGCAGAAAAATTTCAAGACATAGGTCGTAGTGGGTAAAATGATGTGTACTGTCTTTTGGGATAGGAAATGGATAATCCTTCTGGATTTCCTGGAACTTGAACAAACCGTGATCTCTGACTGCTATATCACAATACTGACCAAGCTGAAGGCTCAAACTTCCTGTGTCTGGCCAGATAAGAAGACAACTTTCTCTTTGCATCGCAGTAATGCCAGGCTCCATATCAGTTTGAAGACCATAGAGCACATTGCCTGTCTTGTCTGGACTGTCCTACCACATCCACCATACAGTCTGGATTTGTTGCCCTCTGGCTTCTGTCTCATCAGGCTGATGAAGCATAGACTGTGTGGGCAACGTTTTCTCAGCAACAAAGCTGTCATAGCAGCTGTGGAACAATGGGTCACTTCCGCTGGTGCAGATTTTTACGAGCATGGCATGCAAGCTCTTGTTCATTGCTGGCAAAGATGCGTAGTTAATGGTGGTGACTATGTTGAAAAATAAAGTCTTGTAGCTGAGAATTTGTTCTATCAAATAAAGTTATTGTGCTCTTTATTGTAGTTTCTGTGGAAAATAAATAGGAGGCATTACTTTTAGAGCAACCTCTCTGTGTGTGTGTATCTATATATATACATGCATGCATATGAAAAAAGATATGTATATTCTTGGTCAAAGGCAAGTTGTTGCAGAACTTTGGGATAAAGGAAATGGATGGTTTCATGGTTTGGTTTGGCCATGACTGATGATTATGGGAACGTAGTCATATGTATATTATTGCAGTACACCTGCATTCACAGGCAGCTATCCATGTGTGCAGAGGAGATAGTAGGAACGTACAAAGCAACTGGCTGGTTGTCCTGATGTTCTTCACTGGATTCATGTTAAAAAAGTACCAGTCAAACATAAGAAATGGATCTGGTGGTATTTAAGACTACTTGAAAAATGTGATTGAGGTCACTGTATGGGCACTTTTTGGCCATTTGGTGTTTACTTCTTGTTGAGTTATTGATTTCAGATGTAAACAGAGCACTCAAGTAACCCCTGCATGTCTCCTGATAGTCACAGGATGCCTCCAGGCTATTTCATGCTAAGTGAGGTATGTGGCTGTGCCACCCCACCACTTAGGGGGCATCAGGTATGACTGTGTGTGCCTGTGGCACAGAGCTGCATCAGGGAAGGGCCAGACTGAATAACAGTAAAAGGTTTTGCACTTTCACCAGGGTGGTTGAGCACTGGGACAGGCTCCACAGGGCAGTGGTTGTGGCACCAGCTGCTTGAGTTCAAGAAGCATTTGGACACTGCTCTCAGACATAAGGTTTGAAGTTTGGATGAAGCCATCAATGAACCTAGTGGTTGCTTTCCAACTTGGGATATTCTATGATTCTATGGTACATGATTCTAGAAATACTGCTGGAAGTGAAGTTACAGAGCAGTTTTTCTTGGGACAAGTCCCAGGTTGTCACCTTGCACAGGACACAAGACCAGCAAGAGGTTGGTGGCACCTCTCTGCAGAGTCCTTGCATTATGGGAGGCACAGTCAGAGCCAGGACTCCGAGATCAGCCATAAGGTACTTGCACAAGCACAGGCTTTCTGCCTTTGCCCTGCTTTCCAAAATCTTGGCGTGCTGATGGAAGAGCTAGAAGACAATTTAAGAGAGGAGAACCTTCCTCCCAGCTCAGTGTGATGCTAATGCTGCATGGTGAAATTGCCTTGCTGTGTACTCGAGCTTGCTCAGGGCCTTTTGGGCTCACTGAGAAAGTTACCTGGTTTGGCTATGTGTGGAAACAGTGGCAACAACAAAGACCTGACTAATGTGTTTTCCTCCAACAAGAGGGCTACTTTCCTTTTATTTCAAGAGCAGCTGGAGAGTGGCAGTTATGCTGCTATAAAGGATGAGTAACTTGCCAAAACTAGTTCAGGAATCGAGCACCTGGGGTGAGGGGAAAGCATTGCCTGCAGAAAGTGAAGAGCTGCATCTGTGACCTGATTTGCCCATTTGGTCAGCCAACCAGCTTACACATCTGTTGTAGGAGTCAGTCGGTGGGATGGTGTGTGACTGGATGGCTGTGAAGGCAGCTGCAAAGGTTATTGTGCACATGTGGTCATGGCTGCATTAATGGTGGCAAGGTGGTAGGGACAGGAAAAGAAGCAGGAGTTGTGGAGGGGCATCTTTTCCAGGAGGCAAGTACTTTGTGTTTTCACTTGTGCTGGGCTGAGCAGGTAGCTGGATGTCGCCCTGGAGCAGGAGTGAGATATACCCGCAGATTAGCTGGAGTCACATTTCTCCTTTCTGTGTTTTTATGTTGTTTATTTGGAGTTAAATTGAAGTACGTACTCGAATTTTCATTGTCCTTGATACAGCAGAAGCGACTGAAAAAGGTAGGTTTCAAGGGTTGGTACATTTAATGCCTTTTTCTTGCATTCTTTTCTTTCATCATCCTCAAACAGTAGAAAGGAGGATGGCTAAGTATAGAGAAAAGAGGTAACTATAAACTGATTTGTCTGTAAGCATAGCAATGTTTAGCCTTTGCAAAGATAGTGCATTAAATATTAAATTTGACTTTATTTTTAATAACACTGTTATTTCACTTTTTTTCTGAAAGCCTGGTGGTTTTTGTTTTCTTGCTTTGAATTTTACAGCCCTGAACATGTCATCACTTAACAAATAATCAGTTTTAGATCGTAAGAATTCTGGGGCAAGGGTTGTCTGCCCGCTCGCTGCTGGAGAGCCCTCGGTGCAGAGGTTACAATTTCAGCTGGAGCATTTGGGTCAAACCATAATATAAACTTAGCAGTAGTAAATATTTAAATTGGAGGCTGAATGGCTATGTTGGTGCTGGTGATTGGCAGCAGGCAACACAATAGAGCTTTACTAAACCCTTTTGCAGAGCTGGAAGCTTGCTTGTAGGTATGCTGCAGTCTACAAGTCCTTTGGAACATTTCTTTCTGTTTTTAATGCAATGTTTTGAATGGGATTTGAAAAATTCCGGCATAAAAAGAAAGGAGGTGATGTGAATCCATTAGCAAAATTTCAAAGTGACAGCCTCCAGGTGATGTGTGGTAATGTAATTCCTTTTTTTATGCTTAAGTACTGACAGTGAAGTACACACCCTGAATCAAACAATTATGGGACTAAATGGACTTAAGAAAATAACTTACCTCTTACAGAAAGGAGCTTAAGTTTAGTCGAGGGAAAAGAAATATAGTAATCTTAAATCTCTTGGAGGATAAATGCTGGAGCTGAAGGCATTTTGTCCTGGCATGAAACCACTGAAGTTTCAGCTATTGGAAGCTTGGCAGGAATGTGGAGACATTAATAAGTCCCAATTCATCTCTTGTTAAAGTTCTTACACGCGAAATCACCGTTGTTACCCATCTGACCAATATGCCCAAAGCACAGAAGATTTATTTGCTTGATAAAGAGCAGGTAGGGATGCAGCAGCCTATCTGTTGCTGTCAGGTGTCTGCCTGTGGGATGGGATGGGGGACGTGGGGCAGGGGGAGAGGGGTGAGAGGCTGCTCAGTGTTTGTCCAGAGTACTTTCTGTGATGTGGCTTTACAGCTACTCCTTGGTTTGAATGAGGAAGTCACTTCTCCCAGGGGAGAGAAGAAGCTGCATGATGTTTAAGTAGGAACATAGTTTGAATTTTGTCCTGTTAAATGTGCTTTCGTACCCTGGTTCTCAGCTGAGCTGGCACACCTTTGTACAGATCTTGGCAGGAATAGAGGAACTCTGATACATGAGTAGGAGACTGGCGTTACGTGCAGCTTTGTGTTTTAATTTGCCTTTCTTTCAGTTTTTTTAGTTAAAGTGTGACCCTCTCCTACATAAATTCTAGCTAATGGAAGTGCCAGTGTGGGCACTTTAACTGCAGTATTTCATGTGTGTGCAAATCATATGTGAAAGTTCTGTTTAATATGTAAGCCAGTGAGAGTCTGTGTTTGCTCTTCTGTCTGCAGAGATGAACCAGCTCCGATAGGCAACAATGGACCCTGTGCTTTCATTAAAGGAACTTTTTGTCTGTTCTTGGCTCTGAATCTCTGTGAAGGTGCTGTAAATGTTCTAGTGCAAGGTCACTGGCACATCCATTAGAACTAAAATAAGGAAAGTATTCATTCAGAATAACTGGTGTTAGTTACTCAGTAAACCTGCTTACATTCTGATGGAAATGTGGTCTGGAAATGAAGTAAACCTAGACTCCTAGGTGTTGTGAGTTAGAGTGGAGGGGTTGCTCCTCTCTGAAGAGGGGCTTTTAAAGCCTGCAGCAACATGAATATCAGTGATGCATTTTGTTTTCTTTGGTAGACATTCCTTCCTAGTCTTTCTGTATGTTTTGGGTATGTAGTTAAAGGTACTAATATCTTCTGTATTAAGATTTGTATCTTCACAGACTGTGGCTTAAAACCACCAAAGGAGCAACTCAGTGCCAAGTTTAATTTCTTACAGCTTTTGAAGTTGCCCCAGTTCCTAGTGAAATCCACAACAAGATGAGACAGACTGGCAGTGTGTGTGGCTGTAGACCAGAAAAGAATATTTTTCAGAGGAATTGTATGAGTCACGGAGTGCTGTTTCTACCTGACATCAAGCAATTTTATATAACAATCTTTGTAGCCACAAGGACATACATATGTAAAAGCAAACTTAACTTATTGATTTGTTTTGTATTTCAGATTTCTGAGCTAAAAATAAGATTTCATTACACTTTTTGTCTTTTTCTCTCCCAGTTCCTGAAATGACTTTTTTAGGGTCTAAAAGCAGTCTGTAGGGACTGGAATCACCAGATGTGCTTTTATTTTGGTGTAGTTTGCTTCTGCATCTTGATAAATTCCCAAAGTGCTCTGGCCAGTAGAAGCACCAGATGTTTGCTGTGTTTCTGCACTTCTGATGGTGGTCAGGAAAGCACTGCAGAAACATCACTGGCAAGATATGAGGATAGCAGATTTTGGAAGGACAAAGGAATTAAACATTTAACACTGAAGTGCAAGCAGCCATTACGGTCTGTGTTGTGTAACTGCTATGTTTTATGTCCATGTGGGTTAAGTCAAAACTATCAATTTGAGTAGAAGTGCTTTGCATTGAACTGTGAGTTTTGTGCACGTGAGTTAAGCTGTCTTGTTGGTATTACTGGCTTGGGTTTGTGTTAGGAATTCTGTGAACTGAGATAGGAAGCATCTGCTCACTGTTCTTGTTCTTAGGTAAAAGAGAAAATGCTTTTTCAAGTTTGATTCCCTGCCTGTCACTGTTGCCATCACTAGTGATGTATCTGTCTTGGGTAAAAGGAGGGTGGGATTACCAGATGTCCATTTTGCTTTTGCATCTTGCTGAATTCCTGGTATCATGTAAGCGGTGCTGTTTCTAGCAGCAAGCTAGGTTTGGCACGGGTGTGTGCAGCTATGCTAAGGCGTGGTTTTGCCATCATCCTCAAGGTCCATTTGTTACTCTGCTCTAAGGTTTCTATAGACAAATGTACACTGCAGACGATTCATGTTCTCCATTAGAGAAGAAATTGCCTGTCAGTGCTCTATGTGCACTGTTATGGACTGTTGCTTGCAGATATAAAAAGCATAAGTTCCTGCTGGGTCCAGCCTCCATTGATCAGTTCTCCTAGATTCCTGCCTGTTGCCCTGCTAGGTGGCTTGTTGCAGAATGGTAAGAGTGTATGTGATTGTCAGACCTGAGCTGTCTCACAGCTTGTTATGGCAAGCTCTCCTCTGGCTATGCAGAGGGATGCTCTAGGGCCACTCTCATTGTCTGCTCATTTCCTTTTCCTGGCTTCTCTCTCAGAGCCTTTGTGGTTTCTGATGCTACTAAAGTGTGAGCAAGGAGCTCAGTGTTGCTGGACGTTCACCTTAGGATCTCTCTGAGCTTTTCAAGGTCAGAAACTGACTAGTTGTATTCTGGAAGAGGCTGAGCCCCTCACCTGCATCCTGAAGCCTTGGGATAAATGTGACTAAAAACTTAAGTTCGCACTTTTGGTCAAAGCAGCTCCTGTCATAGAAGACTTGTTCAGGAATACCACAGCAGGCTGAATGGGAAGTAGTTCATTTTCTGTGCTCTGTGGAAACAGAACTCACATGTGGCAATTGCCAACTTAATTGTGTTAATGGCCTTTGGGTGCTTTTAGGAACTACTCAGCAGTGCAGTGTTGGACTTCTGTCTTGAAAGTCATCCTTAAACAGACCTGGTGATTTATAGCAAGCAAAGACTGAGGTATGATTTGAGAGTTTATTGTTAGGGAAATTATGGCTGCTAATGCTGCTTCTCAAATACCACATTGATTACAAAACCATCTGTGTAGGAGTGATGTATAGCACTAGACTTCCAAAGAGCTGATAAACAAGGAAGATTGAGTGTAAACACTTAAATAGCAGCATCCAAAAGTAGGTTAGAGTGTTATACAACCAGCTTTGAGGGGCAGAATTTTTGAAGATTTAAAAAAAAAAAAACAACATATTTTTGTAAATGGGTACTAATTTGAAACTAGTTCTATGAAGTGAGAATCTTATTTCTGTCTCCAGCATACTGAAGTCTAACGTGTGCATGTGCAGCCTGAGAGGAATTATGTTTTGTTACTTGTTCATTTACTGTCAATCTGGTCAATATTTTACATAAAGATGACGATTTCCAATTGAGGAATTTATTTACAGTCTGTGTCAGAGAGATGATATATTTTGTTTCAGTCAAATTCCAAAATTATAATGTGGTGAAGGAGTGGAGGTGCAATTCGGGGTGAAGAAGTGGAGTGAAGGGGTGTAGGGGATGCACTGGTGGTGGGTTTGCTTGTTCTTTTATTTCTCAGTGTGTTTGAATGGTGTTAATCCATCCTCCTCCTTAATCATGCAACTATCAAATAACAGCAATGTATTTTTCCATACATTTGAGTGTATACATTTTACACATTTAAAAGGCATTGTGAAACTCTTGTTCTGTTGTTGGAAATCTCCTTTGCCTTTGTTGCATTCTCCTTATTCAGTTATCGCTAATGATGCACACAGAGCATTGTGTGGTACACCATCTCTGAAGTTCTACCTTTGGATTGAAATACGGTTAGTTTTAAGTCACATAACTCTTCCCATAGCAATTTGCTTAGCCTAAAGTATAAAATGGATAAGCAGGGCAGATGCTGCACATGTCTGTGTGTGCGGGATACATTCATTTAGTTCCTTGTGTGAGGCACAAAGACCGGATGGTGCCGTGGTGGTGGTGGTTGCAGCTTGTCTGTGGATCAGCTAGTGCTCGTTGCTCCTGGCTAGAGGCAGTTCATACTGTGTTCACAGCACATCCAGGCCCAACTGGCTGTCTTCATAGGATTCTGCAAAAGCAGAAAAGCAAAGGAAGTAGGAATAGTTGGTAGGAAGAGAGTAAAATATACAGAGGAAATAAGTGGAGCTCTGTGGTGACTTGATCAAAAGCAAGAAAGCAAAGTTATGGGAAAACTTTTCTTCTCCAAAATTTCCTGTGGGAAGGAAGCAAATGATTTTGGACAGGGCACTATTTTTTCTTTACAACTAGAAGTGTGTTGGTTTTGTTTTGTTATTTTTTTTTTATTCTTAAAGAATTCTTGACCAGTTGTGGTGACAAAGCTAATTCAAGAATCTTCTTGTTTCTTGAGACAAAGTGCTCTTGTTCAGAGTCTTGGGAACCTGAGAGTGAAACAAGAGGTTTATGTGTTGTGATTCTGTTTTTATTTGTTTGTTTTAACTTTGAATTTGCTTTAACTTTAAATATGCTCTTAAAACAGGAGGGCCAGTGAATTACAGGGTCAGAAGATGAAGTTTTATCAATAAGTACAGGAAGAAGTAGGATGTAAATAAACATTAAAGTGACATACCAATCTGCTGCTTCCTTTTCCTCTAATTTCTGTATTTAAGCTGAAATATTTATTAGGAAATAAACCCAACACATTTACTTTGTATTTCAGATTTTATAGTCTGGAGTAAATTAGAAAAATTCAACAGGTTAATCACATTCTGAGCTTTATTATAGCTTTGCCTTATGATTAATGGAAGTTTGACTTATGCACTTAATTGTCACTCTTGCTGATTTAACTTAGCATCTAACTTAGATTGTATTGTGATTGTCAGTTCTCACTGCAGTTGCATCTTTCTGTGATACATTTATATAATTTCAAACTAAACAAGGTCGTTTTAGTTTTAGAGCTCAATATTGTTTTAGCAGTGGAAAGGGAGATAGCATTTCTCTGCTTTGAGAATTTGCATTTTTCCTCCTCAGGAGGTAGGAAGAAGCAGTCGCACTTAGAACAGTTATATTAGCTTATATCAAAGAAATATTTTCTAGAGAGAAACACCTCAGTGGCTGAATGGGATATTGGATTTGGAGCTAGGGGAGTCTAATGCTATTCTAGAGAGTCATCCAGCTTACAGAACTGGAGACAACGGGTTTTGGAGAAAAGATTGTTTTGCTTAAGTTAGAAGTCTTCCTTATTTTGTGTAGCTGTGCAGCCCTGCACATTGTACTGTAACAGGCTTGAGTCAAAATTTGTTCTTACTAATACTGAACTAACATGCTATTTTAAAAGGAGACTATGTCCCTACGTTCCGTATCGGAAACTGAAAGCTTCTTCTCTCCAGGAACCACAGTTTGGAACTAGATCTCTGTGTCTTCTGCTGATGCTCAATGTCTGTTTGGTGCCTTGTGCGTCATGAGGACGTGTTTTTACTGTGAAAAATCAGATGTTTCATCTGCATAGTACTTACTGAGTTGCCTGCTTACAGTTTTTACACTGATGTTGTAAATGGAGCCCACAGTGGCCTTGAGGGGAGAAGGCACAGGACCGTGAGTCACAGCTCATGCAGTCAACCACAGGCTCAGATTTCCAAGTTTGCCTCTTACTCAGCCATGCCATCCCTACAGCTGGTTGTGAAACCCCAACCCCAATGTGGCACCCATAAAAGGAGGTGAAAATTAGCAGTGAAAAGGCTTCATATCAAATCCAAGGAATATTCCAGTCAATAAGCTTGAAGAACAGGTAATAAAAACTTAAAATAGTCTAAATTCAGTGCTGGCATAAGGAAAGCCCAAAACAAGGTACTGTATTGGATCCATTGTTCTGAGTACCTCTTAATATTTTGACTTTTCCTGGGCATCTGCAAGTGCTCACCATCACCACACTGTGATAATGATATAAAAAATATATTTTCCCCATAAAATTGAGGACACTGTTTTCCCCCTAAGTATAAGAGAAGCGATTTACATTAGACATTAAGAGGAAATATTTTTACTCAGAGGATGGTGAGGCACTGGCACAGCTGCTCAGAGAAGCTGTGGGTGCCCCATCCCTGGAGGTGCTCAAGACCAGGCTGGATGAGGCCCTGGGCAGCCTGAACTGGTGGGTGGCAGTCCTGCTTATGGCAGGGGTTACAATTAGATGATCTTTAAGTTTCCTTCCAATCCAAGCCGTTTTATGATTCATTAATTGGGGAAACAATATTTGTATACATTACCATTTGATCCAGTAACTACATTGTAGCTTTCTCAGTATAAAACATCATAAAAAACATCCTAAAATAAAATTGTACTGGGTTTTCACATAGTAATGGCAAGACATTCTCTTGTGGGTTGATACTTAAGGTGAGGGACTAATCCATCTGGTAGTCATTGTGGATGCTGAATAGCAAGAAGTGGGAGATAGACTGTTACTATGTTAGACAGAAAGAAATGAGAGGCCTTGCTCATAATGGTACAAGATGCTGTGCGAGTCATGACCAATATGCAAAGCATCTAGCAAGTGCTATCTACTTTAAATACAAGGTATTACAAAAACAGTTAATGATGAATTTCACATCTTCAAAGACCCAAGCAGTCATTTTTACAGAATCAGATTTTATACAAGGTAGTCAGTTTTTTCTGTTTGTTGCTAATACATATCAGCTACAGATGTCTTAGATATTTCAGTTGCATATACCAGGCCTCGGTGCTTGTACTGTGACGTGATAATCTTTCTGTTTTGGTCCTAAAATAATGAGTCATTTCTGTACGTATCCCTTGAGAGAAACGTATTGGGTGAAACGATAGACAACGTGTGATATCCAACAAAATATAATGAAAACTTACATTTTTTGAAGCTTATATGTCCATGGTGTGATTGTTTTTCAAATGGTAAAATAACCTGCTCACTGGTTTCATTTTTGTTTTCTTGTAGGAATGTTTACCCTTGCAGAAGTTGCATCGCTCAATGACATCCAGCCAACCTATCGTATCCTGAAACCATGGTGGGATGTATTTATGGATTATCTAGCGGTTGTGATGTTAATGGTTGCCATTTTTGCTGGAACCATGCAATTGACCAAAGACCAGGTGGTCTGCTTGCCAGTTTTGCAGTCTACTATAAACTCAAAAGCACAACCCAGCACATCAGGGAAGGCTGACTTTACCACTGTTGAAACAACCACTGGTCAAGGAGAAGAAGCATCAACGAGAACGGTTTCTTTTGGAAGTGCCCCTACTGTAACACCTGATGTACCTCTGAGCAGAGCTACCTCTCCTCAGTATCAACCCACTGAATCAAGTCAGGAGCTGAAGAAGGAGCAGAAGGATTCTTCAGGCCGCAAAACAAATTTGGATTTTCAGCAATATGTATTTATTAACCAGATGTGCTATCATTTGGCTCTTCCTTGGTATTCAAAGTATTTTCCCTATCTTGTTCTCATCCATACCATTATTTTAATAGTCAGTAGCAATTTTTGGTTCAAGTATCCCAAGACCTGCTCAAAAATTGAGCATTTTGTGTCCATATTAGGGAAGTGTTTTGAATCCCCTTGGACTACAAAAGCACTGTCTGAAACAGCGTGTGAGGACTCTGAGGAGAACAAACAGAGGTTAACTGGTGCCCAGTCCCTGCCCAAGTATGTTTCCACTAGCAGTGATGAAGGAAGCCCAAGTGCCAGCACCCCCATGATAACAAAGTCTGGCTTCAAATTTTCAGCTGACAAGCCAATGATTGAAGTTCCCAGTGTCACTATTTTAGATAAAAAAGACGGAGAACAAGCCAAAGCACTGTTTGAGAAGGTCCGCAAGTTCCGGGCTCACGTGGAGGACAGCGATCTGATTTACAAACTCTACGTTGGCCAGACTATCATCAAGACTTTTAAGTTCATATTTATTCTCTGCTATACTGCTAACTTTGTCAACACCATTAGTTTTGAACACATCTGCAACCCAAAAGTGGAACACCTGATTGGCTACACGCAGTTTGAATGTACGCACAACATGGCTTACATGTTGAAGAAGCTGCTTATCAGCTATATTTCTCTCATTTGTGTCTATGGTTTTATCTGTCTCTACACGCTCTTCTGGCTGTTCCGAATACCCTTAAAAGAATATTCCTTTGAAAAGGTCAGAGAAGAGAGTAGTTTCAGTGATATTCCCGATGTCAAAAATGACTTTGCGTTTCTTTTGCATATGGTAGATCAGTACGACCAACTTTATTCTAAAAGGTTTGGTGTCTTCTTGTCAGAGGTAAGTGAGAACAAACTACGTGAAATTAGTTTAAACCACGAATGGACTTTTGAAAAGCTGCGGCAGCACGTTTCCCGCAATGCCCAGGATAAGCAAGAATTGCACCTTTTTATGCTATCGGGGGTCCCTGATGCAGTCTTTGATCTGACGGATCTGGATGTGTTAAAACTGGAGCTGATTCCTGAAGCGAAAATCCCAGCAAAAATCTCCCAGATGACAAATCTTCAGGAACTTCATCTGTGCCACTGCCCTGCAAAGGTCGAGCAGACTGCCTTCAGCTTCCTCCGGGACCATTTGAGATGCCTTTATGTAAAATTCACAGATGTCGCAGAAATTCCTGCGTGGGTGTATTTGCTCAAAAACCTCCGAGAATTGTACTTGATAGGCAACTTGAACTCTGAAAATAATAAAATGATAGGGCTTGAGTCTCTCAGAGAGTTGAGACACCTTAAAATTCTCCATGTGAAGAGCAATTTGACCAAAATCCCCCCCAATATCACAGATGTGGCACCACATCTGACAAAACTGGTCATTCATAATGACGGCACTAAGCTTGTGGTACTGAATAGCCTTAAGAAGATGATGAATGTTGCGGAGTTGGAACTGCAGAACTGTGAACTGGAGAGAATTCCCCATGCCATCTTCAGCCTCTCTAACTTACAGGAACTGGATTTAAAATCAAATAGCATACGCACAATTGAAGAAATCATCAGTTTCCAGCACTTAAAAAGATTGACTTGTTTAAAGCTGTGGCACAATAAAATAGTCAACATTCCTTCCTCCATTACCCACGTAAAGAACTTAGAGTCTCTTTACCTCTCCAATAACAAACTCGAATCCTTACCAGCCGCAGTGTTCAGTTTACAGAAACTTAGATGTTTAGATGTAAGCTACAACTCAATTGCAGTGATTCCAGTGGAAATAAGTTTGCTTCAAAATCTGCAGCATTTTCATATCACGGGAAACAAAGTCGACGTTTTGCCAAAACAGTTGTTTAAATGCATTAAATTGAGGACTTTGAGTCTGGGACAAAACTGTATTACCTCAATCCCAGATAAAGTTGGTCAGCTGTTGCAGCTGACTCATCTGGAACTGAAGGGAAACTGCTTAGACCGTCTGCCAGCCACGTTGGGGCAGTGTCAGCTTCTCAGGAAAAGTGGGCTTATCGTGGAAGATCACCTCTTTGACACTTTGCCCTTGGAAGTTAAAGAGGTATTGAACCAAGACACAAGCATTCCCTTTGCTAATGGGATTTAAGCTGAGGTGAAATGCTCAAGTAGCTAACTTCCAAACAGTAAATGCTAAAAAGTGTGGCTATTGTGAGACCATGCGTTTTTAGAAAGCAGATTTCCTTGGAAGGCGAGACTGCTAGTGGGATTATAAGAGGTGTAACCGAGTGTTCAATGTTTGCAGTGTTTTAAAAAGATTATTTCCAAAATTTTTGAGAGGATAAAAAGAACCTTAATAATCTCAATTCTTTTTTCCTTAAATTGTTTGTAACTTGGATGCTGCCGCTTTTGAATGTTTACAAATTTGCTTGCCTGCTTAAAGTAAATGATTAAATTGATGACCTTTTCTTACTATGCAAGTTATTCTTTAAGGTCTGGATTTACTTTAGTGCATTGTGGGAGGAAAAACAAAGATAAGTATTGTATATGGGACGGTTCTAATAGCACTTGAAACACACGTTGGTGTGTTGTTAGTGTTTAGCTACTCTCAGCAAACGAAGCCACCATTTTCCTGCACTAAGGTATGTGGTTTGCATGGGGCCTAATATGTTTGCCCTCGTTCTTCATTCTGAAGGCCTCATGGTTTTGGATGAGATTTGTCTATGACTTAGTGTGACTCCTTCAGAGCTGCGAGGACCTGTCCTGTTCCACGGCTCTTCTACCCCAGCTTCCGTAAGGCTCCTTTGTCCTGAGTAGCAGGGAGTGATAAAAGGGAGAGTAGTGCCACTGGCCTTCCAAGTTGAGGATAGTTTTGATGTTTGACTGTTCTGCACGATAACTTCTGAGAGTCATTAAACAGCAGGTGACTTTATTGCTGGTGTTTTGCTTCTCTTCAGAGTTTCTGTCTGGGAAACTCGAGATGTTTTACAAGAGTCAGTGATTATTTTGTTTCACAGCCCTTGCCCAGGAACAGGGTTGTCTGCTCTATTTTCCAGACTAATGACAGAGACTTAGAATTACCCAAACGTGATTTAGCTTTATCACCTATTGTAGCATATCTTCCACACATAGACTTTAACTGTAGGATACCCTTACCCCAGCCCTAGTAATTTGATATTTTTGAACATTTATGCACTGTTAGAGAACCCTAAATGTGTGCCAGATGAGTCATCAAATAAAGAAAAAAAGCAGACAGCGGTGAGTGTGGGATTTTTTTGTTTGGTTGATTTTGGTGATGTTGGTTTTTGTTGGTTTTTTTGTTTGTTTGTTTGTTTTTTGTGTTGTTTTTTGTTTTTTGTTTTTTTTTTAACTGAGATTACATTGCCAGAACCATGAAAGAAATACAATCCATTAAATGTGCAAAATCATCAGTTGTAAATCCTGGCCATTTACATTCCATGTCTTCAGAAAAGAAGTACTATGCTGGGAGATGATTACATGATTACTCATGGTTTAAACACAATTCCCTATTGTAGTGCGGTCAGGACTGAACTAGTCTGATGTTCAAGGGACTGTTCTTCTCACACACAAATCCTCATGCACAGCAATTTTTACTGCAGCTTCACCAGAGCTGCCCTGACTTACACCACTCTTAATGAGGGGATAGTTTAGGCCTAGGGGCATTGAGCAGTCAGAAATAATTTAAATACTACTCTTATGATTCTTGCACATTTTATTGTTAATCATTTACTATCAGTCATGCTAGGATGACTGTTCTCAGCTGTAGGTAGCGGTCTCCGAATACATACCTATGCCATATGTTTATGTGTACCAGGAGGCTGGTTAGTGAACGGTGGTTTTCCCACTTTTGAGGTACGGTCTATTTTCTCCTTGCCAGCTGCTGGTAAGCTTGTGATGCTGACAGTTCTGCAGCACCAAGGCACAGATTTGGCACAACACTTGCAGTTACTGATCTCTTCTGCACTGGGAAATGTTTGTGCTAATTTCAGATTTTTTTTCGACTAGGAGTTGTTAAGGCTGCAGTGGATTTTTTGTTGTGCTTTTAAGAAACTCTTTCACGTGTTAATTTTTTGCACATAGATCACTTTAAAATGGCTGGACTAATAACTCTTAGAAAAACTGGGATATAGTATTGGTGTGTGAATTGTATTTGCTGTTGACTGTCATTTCAGTTTCCAAGAAATTATGTATAGGAGGGAGGAACAGTTGGAAGATGGCAAAATAATTAAAACGTTTAGAACTATTTCTACATTTTTCAATTTTTTTTCCCCTTAATTTAATAGCAGTGTCTCACAGAATGCAGCCATGGGCTGATCCTGCTTTTTTAAAAAGCTTTTTTGGATGTTTCTGATGCTCCTAGTGTCCCTACTGTTGTTCAAAAATAAGCCCATGTTCACTTAATATGAGTACAGTATGAATAAATTAGATCCCTGTATGACTAATTATTAGCCAGTTGTACTCATTTAGGCAACTTCCTCCAAATAATTGTGTTTTAACTTCAGGCTTGTGATGCTTACTCATCATAACCTCCATTCCTGTTTTTAGGAGAACTTTCTCAGCGTGGGGAAGAACTGCCCATCTTCCCCAGGTCGCCTCCTTCCCCAGTCCTTCCTCTCTCTGTGACTGTTTATAATGTTCCCATTTCCTGCCTGTCAACTGACACACTCTTGCTTTAAGGTCTTGGAAGTTCATCTTTTTTCCATGTAAGGCATGTGAAACATATTTTGCATTTCTATTTGATTTAATAAATAAGATGTTCATATCTTCTTCTAATCTATTATTTCTGGGGGGAAAACATGTTTGCATAGTGAAGTCTCCGATTTCAAGTGTCTTATGTTGAACTTGCTCTCTGGTGCCTCTAAATTTAAGGAGAAGATGTAAGGAGCTCCTAGTAAGTTCTGTAGGTGTCACTTCTAGCTACAACACATTATGTCAAGAAGGGTGGGATTGTTTCTTCGTTACTTAACACATAACTTAAATGAGGTACCACCATTTTTACTTGACTAGCAGATTTTTGCACAGTTTGCACAGTACCTGTGACTCTGGAAGAAAAATGTTTGTGTTCCTTTAGATAAGAGGAAATAGGAGGTGCCTGTTCTGTTTGTTTCCACCTCTGCAACACAATTCTGAGAAGATCCTTCAGTTTTCCAGTAAGTTGTCCTTTTGGAACACGTGCATCCTGTGGCACAAACTGAGATACTGCATTATGAGCAGGCTGGAAGATGTTGTACTAAGCAAAGGCTCTCTGCTGCTAGATAGATGGCTTTGCAGTCCTGAGCTGCTCCCTCTCATCTGGGCTTCCCCATTTGCTACGCTATTGTTCATGTCTGGTCATAGGGGATCTATTCTCCCCTCTTCAGTGTTAGTGAATGGACTGTGTTTTAATACAAATCTTAGGGAAATAGCTGTTCTTTCTAACATCATTCCGTGTACACAGAATGTAAAGGTGTTACATTTATGTGAAGGCAATGATTGAACTGTTGTTCTTAAAGTCAGGTCAGACGAATTAGGTGCTGCTACAGCAGTGATGTTGGCTGTCATCCTGACTCCTTGCAGGAACAATTTTAGATTTCACATCTCCCCCATTCTCAGGACAGTAAACTGTGTGCAGGAACCTGGCAGTACTGAGTAAATCTGTAGCTTGTGATCATGCAAAAATGAGGCTTCTGTCAGGTGTGTGGGATGTGAACCTGTGAGGGTGCTAAGGAAGAGGATAAAAGCCTTGAATTTGCTGAGGTGTTCCAGTGTGAATGGCAGAGCCCATAGGGCACAGCAGCAGTGAGCTAAGGGTGGCTCACTGGGGCTCGTGTGGCCCCATGTGATGGAATTACTGGCCTTGCAGATATCTGGGAGCACAGCACTGCAGTTCTGTCTGAACTGAGGAGGGTGGCTAAAAAGCCAGAAGAGTGCTGCACCCATGGGAGGACTGGGGACTTCTTGGGGGTTCTACTACGTGGGACTTACTTCTGGTTTTGTCCCCATGTTTGCCTCAGCTGGGAAAACAGGTATCAAAAAGATTCAAGTTTCCTGTTTAAAAAACAGGGATTCTTTAACAATCATTGATTTTTTTTTTTTTTCATTTATTAAAAACACCAGTTATGTAGCAGTGAGGTCATGTAGCATGATCAAATAGGGACAGGCAGTCTCTTCATTAACTGCCTAGCAGAGTCTTATCAATGCATTTCTCATTGTGTGATCCCAGAACAATTGATTCAGACAAAATCTCAGAGGTAAGAAATCTCAGGATGTCTTGAAGACTGTCACCCTGCTTCATGCAGAAATACTGTTCCCTAACTCATTCCTGCCAAACATTTGCCAAGACTTAGCAGCAGGTTAATGATGGTGATTCCAGTAATCCTCCTCCCAGTTAATGCAGCACAGCTGGAACATGAGCCAGACAGCAACTGCTTATGTGCTGTTTGGGCTGAATCAAAAGATAAGAAATGTGTTTACAGAAGTGCAGACCGAGACAGACTTCTGCCTGCATGTGTTGATTGCCAAGCAGCTCAGGAGGACTGAAGTTTGAGATTCCTTGGAAAAGAGCTCTGAAGATGTGTTAGCCCCAGTTTTGTTACAGGTGTAGTGTGAGACATTGCGTTCCCAAATGACAGTAAGGCCATCTGCAACCATGGTGCAATGCTGTAATGGCCAGTGAGCCTCACTGCAAGGCAAAGGTTGGCAGCAGTGCCCTTTGCAGCCGAGGTGCTCTCTTTTTTCAGATGTAAATTTTGTGAGGGCCTTTAAATTAAACATTTCTCAAGCAAGTTTGTTTTTGTTTTTATTTTGTTTTTGTTAGGAACATGTTAAGATGGTCCTTAATGTTACCAGTCACAAAAGAATTGAGAAAAAATGTTGTGTTTTTAACATTGACTTTAACCTCTTGTCCACTGCTGTGAATTGTTAAAATTGCCACCTGGACCGCTGATTAGCTTACATTCGGGTTCCCTGAATGATGGGTTATTTTAGCAGAAATGTTCCCAGTTCAGGCTGGCCACTTGTGCTTGTACAGTGTGTTCAGCACTTAAACCAGTGGCATCAAGCACTGATGTTGCAAAACCCTGAGGGCTTATGCTGTGACCAATTTCCCAGGACAGCAAATAATTTCCCATGCTGTTAGAGGGCGGGAAAGCTGTATCAGTGAGTAAAGTTGTTTCTGTAGCTCGACGAAGACAAAGCTCTGGAATTAAGCTCAGAAACAGATTTTCCAGGCTGATTACAAACAAGCACCCATTCCACGATAAAAGTCATGGGAGATGTTGCATCTGGCAGAGATGCTGAAAATAGCTCCTGCAATTCAGCCGGGCAGAAGTGGCAGCTCTGCAGCAGTGCATTTCCACACAGTGCAGCTGAGGTTGGGGTCAGTAAAACCACAGGCACTGGAGCCAGGCTGCATTTCCTTGCCCTGAAGAGAACAGCCCCTAAACCTCTCTTACAATTGCTGGAGCCAGAACCTTTGTTCTGTCTTGCCTCCAACATCACGTTGCCCCTTGATGCTGGAGGTAACATTGGGTTGCTGGTTTAATAATGACTGTTTGGGAAGAATGCCATCTTCTAAATTAACACCATAGTCTTGCCGGAAGCCTTCCAGCGCAGAGCAGGTCTGTTCCCATAAAATGAACATGTTGTGCCCATAAACTACAAAATTGTGGATTAGGATTGGGTTGCATAGACCATTAGGAATAAATGCATGAACATGCTGCTGTTCTGGAAACCAGTTCTGGGTAGTTCTGCAGCTTCAGGTGGTTTTTAGAAGTGGAGTTTCAAGACCTTTTTGGTAACACCATTCTGTAGCACCTCTGGAACAAAAACTGCAGCCTGGGGTGGGCTAATCTGGAGTTGCCCTGCAACAGCTGCGCTGGGGGTGGCTGAGGGGGCACCAGCATCTCCTTGCTCCTTGCTGCTGGGCTTGTCTTGCTCCTCTGAATGTGTTTCTGGGAGATGCCCTGTGAAATTGTGCCCCTAGCTGCACCACTGAAACTGCCAAGTCACGTGTTTGGAAGATGGGCATCCTGATAATGGGATGAAATGCAGATAAGAAAAAAAAGAAGGAAATCAACTGTCCTGAGAGGAGATGTGGCCTCCATCCACCCCGAAGTGTGACATTTCAGAGGTTTTAGGCGGTATGGACTCCTGCCTTCTGCTCCTGCCTCAAGGTGAGCTCAGTCTCTGGGCACCCTGAGATTGTTTTGTTTTGTTTTTCTTCCTTTTTGCACATCTGTGTCTCAGGACCTTCA